AGAACTGCTAAAGAAGGTAGTGAAAGAAAGTGGGAAGAAAGAACTAAACATCAATTGTAAGAATACAGAATGCATGGTTGTTAACAAAAGAAATATTCCCACATGCAAATTACAAATTTGATATACGAAAATCAAACAAATACAACAATTTAAATATCTGAGGACGGAAAGTGCAACACTGAAATCCGAAGGCGTATTGAGATAGTAAAAGATGCCTTCCAAAAGTTAAGAAAAGTGTTAAGAAACAGGGAAATTTCGTTAGAAACAAAGAAAAGAGTACTGAAAGGATATGTAATATCAGTCCTCCTATATGGCAGTGAATGCTGGACAATCTCCTCACAGATGAAAAAAGGACTTAAACCAACAAAAATGTGGTTCTAGAGAAAAATACTGAAAATACCATGGACAGAACATGTTATCAAAGGAAATAGAAACGAAGGAAACTTATGCTTAACATCAGAAAGAGACAATTGAATTTTTTAGGGCACATACTGAGGAAATAGTACTTGGTAAAATTTCTACTCATGGATCAGATTGAATGTAAAAAGGTCAGAGGAAAACAACACATAGCCTACCTAGCGACCTTGAATAAATGGATGACAGAACAGAGTTTAGGAGATATAACGAAAAGAAAAAAAATATTAAAAGCTATAAAGGACAAGAAATTGTGGAGATCCGTGATTGCTAATGTCCTGAAGCAAGGCAACACAAAGAAGAAGAAGAAGAACAACAACAACAACAACGAGAAGAAAATATCTAAAGAATGTCCACGCAGCACGTACTATAAAAATAACAGAATTATTGAAATATTGTTTCAGTTACATTGATTGTATTTTCTGCATGAGTAACTAAGATTTTTAGCCATACTTTAGTGTTGCATGTAAAAATAAGAATTCTGATTTTTTAGTCATTAAACATAAATATATTCAAATAAAGCTAACCCAACCCGTACTAAAAAGAAATTGACGGACACATTTAGGCAATTTTGCTGATGTGCTTAACCTGTACTGTAGGGTTTGAAGATAAGAAAAGAAAAAACTGAATAGAAAATAATTAAAAGAAAATAGAGACTTGAAAAGTACACATCGAAGAATTTAGATACGGAAATTCTTTCTAAAGAGACAAAAAATACCAAAGCTTTTCATTCTTGAGAGCGCATGTTTTACATATTTCTCACCAAAACCTACCATAAAAACGTAACCGCAAAGCTTAAGTAAGTTTTGCGGTTGCCTTGATAATAATTTTCTTAAAATCATTTCATCGCAAGAAAATAAGAAGATAGTAGTGAAGAGAAAGGACAATAAAAGAACAGGTTTCAGGATAACAGAAAATGACGATAATGCCACTAAGACGCAAGGAGTTACTAGGAGTGAAAGAGAATGGTAAGACATTAGTGAGGAGAAAGGATAATAAAAGAACAGGTTTCAGGAAGACAGAAGATGGTGATAATGCCACAAAGACGCAAGGGGTTACTAGGAGTGAAAGAGAATGAGAAACCATTAGTGAGGAGAAAAGACAATAAAAGAACAGGTTTCAGGAAGACAGAAGATGGCGATAATGCTACTAAGACGCAAGCTTTTAGTAGGAGTTAAAGAGGAGGATAAGACATTAGCGAGGAGAAAAGGCAATAAAAGATCAGGTTTCGGGAAGACAGAAGATTGTGGTTGAAGATGCATTTAAATTTTTGAAGACGCCAGGGAAGTAAGAAATCGCAAGCGATTTCCACAGGCGAGAAGTGTGAAAGAATAAACTATTAGGATAGAACTTACGTTTACATGTAGCTATTTCAGCAGTAAAACAATGAGACTTAATTGCCAATCTAGTAGTGCGCTTAAATTCATGCGGTCGATAACAACTACCATGAAATTATTCATAGAAAAGAGAAGTCGAAGCCACGTAATGACGGTGTGACAGTGAGATTAAAGTCGAGATGCCAGATCAGGACTGATAGCATTACATACCCTTCTTAGAATTTTGTCAAGAGTCACGAAATATATAGCAGGAGCACCAGACCATATTCAATGAACGGGTGAATAGTAGATATATAAATATGCAAGTCGAGAAAAATAATCTGGCACGACACAGTGAACCATTTTTTAGCAACAGACATAGCTAGCTACTGATACAATACAAGCACTATACTTAATGGAATATCTTAGGGGAGGGTGTGCGAATGGTGTAAGTGTTAATAAGGAAAAATATAATCGACGAGCCGAATTCAAATTCTAGTCTAGTCCGTTGCGTTCAATTCTGTACAAATTCCCTTGTGAAAGACATTAATCCTTCTTGTCTTCCTATCTAATGGTTAAATAGTAAGGTATGCTAGCTCTTTAGCCCTATGTGGTAACCTGTCTTACAGAAGGAAAACCCTGAAATTAAAACCGATCTATAAAAGACTCAAGTTAGACCAAAAACGGTCTCAGATTAGACAAAAAAAAATTGCTGCCATATGTGGGCTGGAGCTGACCAACTCCTTCTTTTCACACCGCGGTCTTGTGGGGGTGACTTATTTTCACCCTAAATCACCTTTCCTCAAAGATTCAACGTCACTAGTTCCATGGCAAATGTTCAGGCAGACTCCATTCTTTGATGACACCAGCCTCTATCCGCCTTGCTACGTCTACAGAGTTGAATCACTCTCATTACCTACGCATCCTTTTGGCTAGAAGGATGTTCCACTCGGAAAGTTTCTTCTCATGAACCACTACTTCGGAGATCAGACACCCGCGTTGTTGGTTCCATGGAGACTAGAATCTTAACTTCTCCAAATCTAGGGTCAATCATTATCATCCTCGTAATATTTACTTCCTCTTCTTAGATTCATCACACACCTCATTTCGTAAGCCACTAACTTGAGTGGCTCTTGAGACTTTTTCCGTGAACTTTAGTAAGAAAAAAAGTCATATGGAAACCATACATACGTGCCAATTCACATTTCATAAAGAAAAGAATATGTAGAGACTTGATCGCCCACATCATGAAAGCACATGCATTTAAAAAAATATATGATTTTTATTTATATATTTACTTCTATTGTCGCATCTAAGAATATTTTTAAGATTAAAAAGTATATATATATATATATATATATATATATATATATATATATATATATATATATGGGGGGGTATGTGTGTGTGTGTGTTTATCCAAAGAAGGTTAACACAAAAAAAAAACAAATAGTTTGATCTCCCATACTTATAAATGAGATTATCCATTGTCAAAGTAGCATGAAGCATGTTTGCTTACTGGAGTTCAGTACTGCCTCCTTTTGTTATAACAAAAGAATATTTAATTATTAAAAAGTGGGGATCAGGCTGCGTTACCGATAAATATATCCAAGTGGTGCTAAAAGGTTTTCGGGCCGACTAAGAAACCATTCTCATCAAAATAATATCTTATGCTTGGGCATTTGATCGGGTTTTAGGGAGTGGGTTAGGTCAAGAATTATTCAGCACCCCTTGTATATTATAAAATAGATTTCTATCGTAGCCTCCTTATTCCTTCCGTCATTTATCTGGGTATCTTTATTAAGCATGCTGTCCGAGTTATAATAACAGTTGATATTTAGAAATGGCGTCTAACTGCGATTGTATAAATGGTGTTTAGTATCTGGTGTCAAGGAAGAATTGACGACTGTCGAACGATATTATCCAGACATGAATAAACAAAGAAAAACAAACTAGTTTCTGGGCAATATTTTAAGTGATTTCCATTAATCATAAATTAAAAGAAAGAAAGAAAGAATCCAAAGAGGAAGTGAAGTGAGCGGAGAAATTAAAAAAAAAGTAGAATCTGGAGAAAAGGAAAAAGAAGAAATCTTTGGACTTAATAATAATAATAATAATAATAATAATAATAATAATAATAATAATAATAATAATGGTATAAGAACACATACTGAAAAATTGTGTTAACCCGAAATGCAAATTTTGTGATAAATATCCAGATACAATTTACCATCTAGTATCAGTTTGTACAGTGTTCGTACCCACTGAATATAAAAGTCGACATGATAGAGTTGGCCAATATCTTTACTGGACAATATGCAACTTTTACGGGAAAGAAACTGTAAGAACACTTTCTTGCAGTTTCTTTACCGTAAAAGTTGCATATTGTCAGTATGAACTGAAAACAAACCCGGTTACAGAGATAGGACCTGTAAAATTTTATGAGACTTTACAATACACACAGAGAGAACAATCAAAGTTAATTGGACAGTCATCGTGATCAAAGACCACGAAAACAGAATGTACTTTCTTATTGACATGGCAGTTCTTGCAGATTGTAATGTATCTTTGAAGATTTACCAAAATACAAGTATATTGAACTGGAAATTTAAAAAATGTGGCACATGAGGACATCAATAATTCCAATAGTAGTTGGAGCCCTCAGACTGATTGGAAAAGGTTCCGATAGATTCATTGAAGGGATACCTGTTAGCCCTTTGTCTTAAAAGAAATACCAAATATTGTACTCACAAGTACAGCTCACACATTATGAACAGATTTATCTATGTAAAACGTGTGTGATCTTAGATTTTTTTTTTTTTACAAAAATGATCAGGGAAAATGTCATAAAGCCATTTATGACCTTAGATCACTGGTTGGGATTCGGGAGGCAATTTGTACATAACAGAAATCAAACAAAATCATCATAATAATGGTATAAGGAGTTGGCGTAAATACATAGATGCCAAGAACTGGCAAGACAAAATGGCATGTTATCTCTTTTGTGGTTTGCGCAATCGGGATTATTTCCAGGTATCTTTTTACCTGGCAAGAAATTTTGGGGATAACTGACATTATTGGAAGTGTGCAGGTGGCAGCACGACTTGGAACAGCTCATGTACTGTGGAAAGCAAAGCTGCGGGTCGGTGCTGAGCTATGACTATCATCACTCGTTCAGCATATCTAAGAGTTGGAGAGAATGTCAGTCACAATAATAATAATAATAATAATAATAATAATAATAATAATAATGAGAAGAATGAAGCATACAGTAAAAGAAAAAGAATAAAAAACGAAAGAAAAATAAGTATGGTAAGAAAAAGATAGCAAAAGACACAGAATGAAAAAAAAGATAAAGCGAAAAAGAGAATGAAAAATGAAAGAAAGAAAGGTATGAAAGGAAGAAAACAGAATAAAAGAAATAGAATTAAAATTGAAAGAAAGAGAGGAATGAGGAGGCAAAGAGAATGAAAAGAACAATATATCTATAAGAATGTAATAAAGAGAATGAAAAGAACGATATCTCTACAGGAATGTAATAAAGAGAAGCAAAACAACGATATATCTATAAGAATGTAATAAAGAGAAAGAAAATAACGATGTATCTTTAAGAATGTAATAAAGAGAATGAAAAGAACGATATCTCTATAGGAATGTAATAAAGAGAATGAAAAGAACGATATATCTATAAGAATGTAATAAAGAGAAAGAAAAGAACGATATATCGATAGGAATGTAATAAGAAAAATGAAAAGAACAATATATCTAGATGGATGTAATAAAGAGAATGAAAAGAACGATATATCTATAAGAATGAAATAAAGAGAATGAAAAGAACGATATCTCTATAGGAATGTAATAAGGAGAATGAAAAGAACGATATCTCTATAGGAATGTGATAAGGAGAATGAAAAGAACGATATCTCTATAGGAATGTAATAAGGAGAATGAAAAGAACGATATCTCTATAGGAATGTAATAAGGAAAATGAAAAGAACGATATCTCTATAGGAATGTGATAAGGAGAATGAAAAGAACGATATCTCTATAGGAATGTAATAAGGAGAATGAAAAGAACGATATATCTATAGGAATGTAATAAACAAAATGAAAAGAACGATGTATCTTTAAGAATGTAATAAAGAGAATGAAAAGAACGATATCTCTATAGGAATGTAATAAAGAGAAAGAAAAGAACGATATATCGATAGGAATGTAATAAGAAAAATGAAAAGAACAATATATCTAGTGGGATGTAATAAAGAGAATGAAAAGAACGATATATCTATAAGAATGAAATAAAGAGAATGAAAAGAACGATATCTCTATAGGAATGTAATAAGGAGAATGAAAAGAACGATATCTCTATAGGAATGTAATAAGGAGAATGAAAAGAACGATATCTCTATAGGAATGTGATAAGGAGAATGAAAAGAACGATATCTCTATATAAGAATGTAAAGAACGAATCTCTATAGGAGAATGAAATGAAAAGAACGATATCTCTATAGGAATGTAATAAGGAAAATGAAAAAGAACGATATCTCTATAGGAATGTGTAAGATGAAAAGGAGAATGAAAAAAGAACGATATCTATAGGAATGTAATAAACAAAATGTAAAGAACGGATCTTTTAAGAATGAAAAAAGAGAATGAAAAAACGAACGATATCTCTATAGGAATGGAATGAGATAATATCGATAGGAGAATAATGAAAATGAACGAACATCTCTATAGGAATGTAATAAAAGGAGAATGAAAAAAGAACGAAATCTCTATAGGAATGTAATAAGATAAAAGAACGGAGAATGAAAAGAACGATATCTCTATCTAATAAGGAAAAAATGAACATATCTCTGAGATGGATAAATAAAAAAGGAATATCGTAAATTTGAGAAAAATAAAAACGGTATTCTAAAAAATACTGAGATGGATAAATAAAATGGGAATATCGTAAATTTGAGAAAAATACGAATTCTAAGAAAATTCACTGTGCAGTGCCAAAACATATATAGAATAGAATATTATAATGACTAAATATTTTTTAAAAAATTTCATAACTATTTCTCGTGGCGTAGACAGTAACCTATTTTCTATAGGAGCGGGACATCAGTTTGCAAATCCAGCAGAAAAGCAAGAATTTCAAATGCTGATTTTCTAAGCAAACAAACTTTCCACACTTACCCTTGTGCCGAACTAATCTAAACTTGAAAATATTCATTATTTCAGAGATCATTTCTTCTAACCAGATGTTTCTCTCGAAATCAAGCGACAGCAACTCTACCACACCCTCTTCGGTATTCTTACGAATTTTTACAATACACTTTCAATAATTGCTCGGAATTTCACTTTCTCTGACCTTTTAGCAGGGGTCATTGGGACTGTGTCAAACCAACATTTATGACTTACCAACATTATTATTACCAATGATTATGACTTCAATCCTGTTCCGTTTCTTGGAATTATATTTTTTTTAAATTTCTGGAATTATGGTGTTTCTGGAATTATAACTCTTTTGAAATTTATTTCTGGAATTATAATTTTTCTGATTTTTTTCTGGAATTATTACTTCAATCATATTCCAGCTTTTTATTTATGATTTTCGAGACTTCTGGAATTATGAATTTTCTAGAATTGTTTTTATGGAACATTTCTGGACTTATGGCTGTCCTGGAATTTTTCTAGAATTATGATTTCAATCATGTTCCACTTTTCTGAATTGCTCTCATGATATTTATCCGCCCTTTCATGCCTTTGCAGATTCATTGTTTGTACTCCTGAAACGGCTACATTCATGATCTAACAGATCTTATTTTTTTGTTTACAATGAATAAAATTTTTTCTTCTGTTCTAAACAATATAAACTATTTTTATTTCAAAATCACAAAGAATATTTCCTCTTCTGTTCTTAATGTTCTTCTCTTGTTCTTTTATCATTATTATAGCTCACTTAAAGGCGATCAGATACAACCATTAAGCTATTTATTCTATCCAGGTTTCATCTATTATATTACTTATTCGCTATGAATGAGGCCGCCATTTGATACAAAAACTCACGCAGAAACGTTACAGTACTGACTGAGTAATCCCAGAGTAGAATATCAGTTCATGCATGCGTAATAATGTTCCTTCTGATTAGATACCAAGTCATATCAAGGCTGGATAATTTCAGGTCACACAACATCTATCTATCTATCTATCTCTCTCTCTCTCTCTCTATATATATATATATATATATATATATATATATATATATGGGAAAATAACGTCCCTCATATATATATATATATATATATATATATATATATATATATATATATATATATATGGTGTACAATTGAGTGAGGGGGTTAAATAAAATTTTAAAATCTGCCAATTCTGAGATTAATTTTAAAGGAAACTTTTTTGTCTTTATACAGTAAATGAAATTCATTCTAACAAGTTTAACTGCTTTGTCGTTTCTGATCAATTCACCTTGACACATTTCTTGAAAAGGTAACCATATATATATATATATATATATATATATATATATATATATATGTGTGTGTGTGTGTGTGTGTGTGTGTGTGTGTATGCATATATATATATATGTGTGTATGTATATATATATATGTGTATGTATATATATATATATACACACACACATATATATATATATATACACACATATATATATATATATATTAAAAAAAATTTTTTTAAATTCGTCGCAAAAAATCACGTAAAAAAAAAATGCCAAAAACAATCATAGTAATGAAAACTTGGGAATCCCAAATTTCAGAATTGCAGGTTCATGTTTACGCTATTTTTGTATAATAAAATGACATAACCAAAACAAATTATCTATATAATAAATGCGAATGTTATATATATATATATATATATATATATATATATATATATATATATATATATTGAACAATAAGAAAATAAAAATTAAAAATTAAAATCTTTAGACACACTGGGTTGTAGATTAATATTCTTTCGTTTTTTTTATTATTATTCCATTTAGATTCCTCGACTAGTTTCGACCGTCATCGGGAGGAGAAATATTTCTGCTTGCTGGTAGCAGTGAACTACAGAAATGAATGTCTTGATGGAGAAAATGAACTTTTGTCTGTAGTTTTCATTTGTTTTTTTATTTTTTTATCTTTTTAACATGAATCTTTTAACATTCCTTGTGTTGGTCAAACAGTCTCTTTTAAGTTGTTATTTGAGATAATAGCTGGATAGATACATATTATTCTGAATTCTCTGGTCAGTTTGACAGTTTTATTGGACCTGGTGAGGGGATGTGTCTCTGTTTAGCGTTTGTGTGTGTGTTATTTGGTTCTTAGGGAGTGAGTGAGTATGATATGTGTAAGCGTGTGTTATTGCTGTAGGTGTGTGTTATCATTTGGCTCATTAGGGAGTGAGTGAGTATGATGTGTGTAAGTGTGTATATTCGTGTGGGTGTGTGTATAAGTGTGAGAAAAGTGATATATAATTAGATATAAATATATAAACATATTATATATTACATATATTATATATATTATACAGGGCTTCGTATGGTTGGGTGCAAATTTGTAAGATAATCACTGTTTGACCATTGAACCTGTTGACTAGTGAGGAGGACATACCTTCTTCTATTTTGAGCAAAAATTAAATAATACTTTTGCAAAATGTAATTAATTAAATTTTATATTAAATATTATATTTAATTATATTTTATATTTCCTTTTTTCACAACAAATGCCTAAGACAGATATTAGATATTTTAAAAATGATTTAATGTGACTTTTGTAGGCATCCATCAAATTCTCTAATTGAATAGGACGGAAGTGAGTTTTGATTTTACATTAAAAATCCTAAAAGCTTTATTTAAAGGCGTAAATTCGTTTTTATTTATTTATTTATTTATTTATTTTTTACAGATTATCTTTAGGATATAATCTTTTAAATAAGATATTTAAATAATTTGAAATGCTTTCTTTTTTTTTTTTCTTTTTTTTTTTTTGGACCTGGAGGTACCCTATTTAACAGCAGAAACATTCCAACGGCTATCTCGCAACTCCTACATTATTTCCTTAAAAATGACTAACGGTGATCGGCAATACTGTGAACATTACACACAATTTCAGCAAGAACCTCACAAAAAGCATTAGCAGACATTTCTCATTCGTTATATATATATATATATATATATATATATATATATATATATATATATATATGCACATGCACACACATATATATGAGGTGCGATGGGTAAATTGTCGCCATTCTTTGTATTTCTAGTTTCTTATTTCGCGCATGCGCTTTGTTTGATTTTTTTTTATTTTGTCGACTGCACAGTATAGCAGGGCCAATTGGCCACCTTCTGTGAGAAAAAGCGCACCATGATGCAATTCACTCCACTATAAATTTGGAAACAGTATGCTGTACTGCTTGACATTTGTGCCGGAATCTTCAATACTAATATTTCAGATTTGGAAAGAGATGGATGCTACATCCAGTCAGCATCATGGTGCTTGGAGTGATCACTAGTGATGGCAATGTTATGCCTCCATTCATCTTCCTCAGACTCAAAACGGGGGCCTACACCAAGTGCCTTGAGGAGACAGTGCTGCCTCGGATCAAGAGGTTGGCTGCTGGAAGTCCCTATGTCTGGCAACAGGACTCTATATCATGCCACACAAGCAGGTAAACCCAGTCATGGATATCAAACAATTTCTGCGCCCATATCACCCCTTACATCTGGCCACCTAACTCCCCAGACTGCACCCCTCCTTCATTATTATGTGCGGGACGTAGTTGAGCGAGAGACCAATAAAACTCCTTGTAACACCAAAGATGAACTGACGGCAAGGATTATGTCAGCATTCACCAACTTAAACAAGGAGACCGTCCACAAGTGTTGCAGGAGATTCCAAAGTCGTCTGGAGGCCGTGGTTAAAGCTCATCGGGATTTTATTGAATAAATTTACTCTTTAGTATTTCAAGATATTTTTGTGTCATTTCGGTAAATATATCTGTTAAAATGAGATGTCAGTGTTATTTTCATTTTTGCGTGATTTAGACGACAATTTATCCATCGCGCCCTGTATATATATGTGTGTGTGCATGTGTGTGTGTATGTGTGTGGTTGTGTGTGTGTGTGTGTGTGTGTGCGTGCGCGCGCATTTGTTTGTTTGTGTGTGTAATACAAATATCTTCTGTAAGTTAAATCCTGTTCATAACATGAGCATTCTGAGTCCTTGCTAAATTCCAAACTCACTCATCTCTATACTTTTTTCTTTTGTTACGATCCAACATTGACAGAGGAAACACATCCAAAAAAGACTCTGTACACAATCGCTAAACTGAGTGGCACACCCTCTGTCCAACATAATCAGATATAATCTGCTTCCGGTACCTGTAAATCAAATATATGACCACGCCCAGTAGCGTCGTCATTCTTAATTAGTTTGAGACCTTCCCGGGTGAATCACGTGATTAGACACGGCCAATCCCGTGTTGTCAAACTAAAATCTAAACCAATGACGAAAAAAATAGTGAAACTCATGACAGCAGAGATATGAGATAATGTACCACTCGCTGTTAATCGCTGTTATATCAAAATGCAAGGACTGAATTACTACTTCATAAACATATGGCCGCAATAACTTTATTTGTTTCACTTTTAGTTCTTTTGTTTTGCTCCATCAATATTTTTTATCTCTCCATGCATCTCGTTTTTGTTTTTGTTTTTTTTGTTTGTTTTTTGCGTGAACGGTATATACAGTCATTTCCTCTTTTCATTCTTCAAATCTTTTTCTTTTCTTTATTTCTTCTCTTGCTTCTTTCTCCTTTTCTTTCTTCCTTCCTTTTTTGTCTTCGTTACTTTTTCCTTTTCTTTTTTCATCTTTTGCTCTTCTCTTTTCCATTTCGTTCCATTTTGCTTTTGTCTTTTTTCTTATTCATCTTTCTTCCTTTTCGTTGCATTTCCTTTTTTTCATCAATTTTATTATTCTTTCCTAATTTCTTCATTCTTTTTTTATTTCTTTCGTTTCTTCCTTTCTTTTCCTTTCTCTTCTGTGTTTATTCTTCTTCATTTTTCTTTTATTACTTTTTTCTTTCTCGTCTTCCCTTTTCGTTTTCATTTTTCATTCCTTTTTTTTTTCTTCTTTCTTCACTGCATTCTTTTCACCCTTCTTTTTCCTTTCCTGTTTTTTTTCTTTTCTTTTTCTTTTTGTGTTATAATCTATCTATATTCGTCCTTTTATTTCTGCAATTAATCATTTCGTTCTTTGGGTTGTTTTCTTTTTCTTTTTTCCATATTTCGTGTTTTTCATTTAATCTACTTTATTTCCTTTTGTAATTAACTCAGAGCCGTCTTAATGCATCGGCCCAATGGGCACTTGCCCGGAGGCCCCTCAAATATAGAGGGCCCATGCTAATCTGTGTATGCTAAGTGACTTGTGTTACAGAAGCCCTTTTTTAGGAAATACTAAAAATAGAAATTACTACAAGCCACGCGTATTACTGTTGGTGAAATTATGTCATAATAGAAAGATTCATTTTATTTGACTTAGTTTTCGAATAAAAAAGAAAATGGGAAAATGTCCCCTTTTGACCTAAAAGACAGCGGAAATGACGAGGACTATCTTCAAAGAAGTCGCCCACCTATATAAATAGATGGGCTGGCTTGTCTCGCCACTTAACTTGCAGACAATTTTGCTGTAATGGAAAAGATCAAAGAATTGATCCTGACTCCTGACGGTCAGTCTTCGCACAGTCCTAGTACAGACTCGCCGGTAAAACTCTCATTTCTATCTTTTAATATTTGTGACCAAGACCACTGTTGACTTTCTGTTGGAGTCCATATTATCTTTTATTTTTTCTCTGGTTTGATTTCATTCTTAAATTTCGCCTAGACTGAATCAATATTGTTTTCAATGTTTAATTTTAATATATTTCTAATTTTACTATTTATGATTTTTACTAATTATGATTTTTATTGTTAAACTCTAGCGTGGATAGTATTTTCTTAATCTACATCGCTCTTGAGGAAAATTGGGAGACTCTCCCTGCACTGTACAGAAAGATAATTTCGGACAATTTGAAATTTGTATTTCCGAATGCTGAAATTGCACGTTGAGGGTTCATGTGCATGATGGTGGTCAACTGTACAGGAGAACGTTCTTTGCCAACACTGAAACTTATAATGGGCCACCATCGTTTGAACTGGCTTTTACTTATGTGCATGGTAAATGACATCCTATTCCTGAAGACTATTTACCTCAAGCCAACAATAAAGAAATTCTCTGAGAAGAAATGCCGCAAATGCTTGGTATAATAAGTTTGTAGTAATTTCATACTGTGTCATCAAATCTGTGTGGCTTACTGAGTATTATTGTGTTTTTCAAACCTTGTGTAGTGTTCAAATGTTTATCATGTTGATTAGCTGCTGCTGTACATCATGTTTTTAATGTTTTAACACCAATTTTGTCAAAGTACCAATAAAATAAATATATGTTTAATATTATCGAGCATTTACTTTTTATTCCTGTGAGTGGTTGTCGTAGGGGCCCCAGTACACTGGTTTGCCCAGGGGTCCATAATGCTGTTAAGACGGCACTTAGGTAACTTTCAATGAGAACATCGTTAACAACTTTGCACCTGACTTTTAGTAACGTAGGTAGAAAATTAACCAGAGTAAAATGTTAGTCCTTACGCTTTTACTTGAAAGAAAAGGCCACCATACACTCTTCTCCATATTTTCACAAGAATATGCATCGAAAAAAAACTTGGATTGGACTCAAACAGAAAAAAATCTCTGATTTACAGTTTTTTTTAATATCAATGATTATGGCTGTTATGGAACCATCGAATTCTCAGTGTTCAGTCAAAATTTGATTGTCTGCGTTTTTCTTTTATTTCATCCGTAAAGATAAAAAATTCTCCGGGTAGAAATAACAGGGGGAATTTTTTTTCATGGAATAAATAAAAAAAATGCTCTGATAAAATACAAAATAAACTGAAATGGATAATTCTAGCTCCTTTCTACTCAATATATTTATACGAACCAAATAAAATTTAAATAAAAACCCTGACAAAGTTGCTAAAATTTCAACAGAAAAAGAAGCGATGTCAAAATATAGAATTTAAAAAATGCAGAACACCACCCCCACCTGCGCGCGCATAATTTGCATAGTTATTCATCTATGAGTGAATTTATTCATTTTGTAAGTAAATGTTGTAAGAGGGGAGGGAGAGTTAAATAAAAAGATCGATAATTATTCCATATTTTAAATTATAGTATTTTTCTGTTTATCAATAATTTTCTTGCTCTGTAATGATTCGTATCAGTAATGGATAGCGGCTTGGATTGAGGAATCGGAGAGCCGAGTTCGAATTCCAGTTGAATACATTACATTCACTTATGTGCTAATACCCTTGGGAAAGGTGTGAATCCTCTTCTTCTCCCTCCAGCTATGGGTAAATAGCAGGACAGACTGGGTTCTATGGCCTTAGATGGCAACTGGTCTAGGAGAAGGAAAACTCTAAATTCAAAACCTGCGGAGGGTCGTTTGGGGACCTTGTGGCACGTAGTGCACCAGGTCTCTGTATTCAGCCCTTCAAAAAGTGTGGATGGTCTTGCACGAAACCTTCACCACTATAATCAAATCTCATGCGCTGTTGTCGGGCTGTCGGTTTCCTGGGAACTGATCTACTTGACCCTTATACGTCAATTCGGCGGAGAGTCGAGTATAAATATATATATATATATATATATATATATATATATATATATATATATATATATATATATATATTTTGTTTCTTAACAGGTAAGAGCATAGAATGCAAACGTTCTTTCGCACTAAATGTGTTAATAATTCCAAAAATTGTATATTGAACAAATTTATATCTACTGCTTGCGAAATGTTAACTTAATATGTTCGCCTACTTTCTCAAAAGTGACACAGAAATTTTAAAAATATATAGATATAATATACAGAAAGATGCCTTTTCAGAAACTGATTGTTAAGAGATAGATAGATAGATAGATAGATAGATAGATAGATAGATAGATAGATAGATAGATAGATTTGGACAGACTAAGATAAACGTAGATAGGTAGATAGATAGATAGATAGATAGATAGATAGATAGATAGATAGATAGATAGATAGATAGACTGTTGTCCTCCTTCAAGACATATAGATATAATATACAGAAAGATGCCTTTTCAGAAACTGATTGTTAAGAGATAGGAAAATATACTCAGTAACAAAAAAGAATCTTGAAATTCTATGTAATATTTAAATCTTCTATATCGCAGTCAATGCCGGAGAATCTCTTCACAGACTAAATGACTTGAAGCGATAGGAAGTCGTAGAGAGCCATGATAGTTCATAACTTGAAAGGACATAACATATAAAAGAAGTTAGAAATGCGTACAAACGGTACATTTTAACAATTTCTTAGAATTTGGTGTGCGTTTAAAATTAAAGATAAAATGATTGTTAGTGACCAATACTCAATATAGGCGTTACTAATTGAAAATGGCTATTATATGGAGAATGGGGATGTATTTCTAGTGGCGCTTTGGAAATAATTTTTTTATAGTAATGTGATCACAATAATAAAGAAATTGATTTTCTGGGGTCAGGAACTAATTCAATCGTTACTGACAGAATACGATTATTATACCTATCACTTTCAGCCACTTCATCCCAATCAGAATGATAATGTCACTAAGACGCAAGGGGTTACTGGGAGTGAAAGAGAATGAGAAGTCTGTAGAAAGAACAGGAAACCCAATCTTAAGATGAAAAAATTGCATAAACTTCTACTCCTAGTTAAAAAAAAACAAGGAAGGAGTGTGAACCGAGCAGTAATTCGTTAAAATTTAGAAGGTGATTGTCAGTGGACTGGAATTAATACAAACATATTTTTAACCACTCCAATAAAGCTATGAGACGCAAAGGGGGTTCCGTGTGAAAGAATATTATTAAAATAAAAATAATATTATTGACAGAATATGGCGATTCTGTATTTAAAAAAAAATAAATTGTGGTTGGATTCTTCAAAAAATCCTTACAAAGCCATCATATTATTATAAACTGATTTTACCGCTGAATAAAAAAAAATCACTAAACGCTTTTTTCTTTGCTTTCCTTTATCAAATCACCCCCTCTTTCTTTACACTTCTTTACTCTTTCAACCCCTTTTACACTTCTCCTTTATCTGTCGTTATTTATATGGATCTCCCCCTCCCCCCGTGATTCGTATCAGTAACACTTATCGCGTTGGCCGAATTCTTATCTCGACAGAACATCTTGAAACTGGAAATGGTCGTCACCTCCTCCCCAGTGGTATTTTCAAATGAAAAGATATGAGATGCTGACTCTTGTGCAGTCACACCCGCACACGTCCATGCGGGAAGCCAGAGTTGTATACTCTACACAATGCGTATATAAATTAAAAAAAAAAACAATCGGAATTGGAGAAAGCAACCATTCCCAGTTTAATTATCGCAACCACATCACAAACAACGTGAAATTCATAAATAATGGTTCGTTTTTAAATTCACCTTATGTAAGATTAGATTTTACACGGGCACACATACGCAAGCAGATAGATAGATAGATAGATAGATAGATAGATAGATAGATAGATAGATAGATAGATAGATAGATTTGGACAGACTGGGATAAACATAGATAGATAGATAGATAGATAGATAGATAGATATAGATAGATAGATAGATAGATTTGGACAGACTGAGATAAACGTAGATAGATAGATAGATAGATAGATAGATAGATAGATAGATAGATAGATAGATAGATTTGGACAGACTGGGATAAACGTAGATAGATAGATAGATAGATAGATAGATAGATAGATAGATAGATAGATAGATAGATAGATAGATAGATTTGGACAGACTGAGATAAACGTAGATAGATAGATAGATAGATAGATAGATAGATAGATAGATAGATAGATTTGGACAGACTGAGATAAACGTAGATAGATAGATAGATAGATAGATAGATAGATAGATAGATAGATAGATAGATAGATTTGGACAGACTGGGATAAACGTAGATAGATAGATAGATAGATAGATAGATAGATAGATAGATAATAGATTTGGACAGACTGGGATAAACATAGATAGATAGATAGATAGATAGATAGATAGATAGATAGATAGATAGATAGATAGATAGATAGATTTGGACAGACTGAGATAAACGTAGATAGATAGATAGATAGATAGATAGATAGATAGATAGATAGATTTGGACAGACTGGGATAAACGTAGATAGATAGATAGATAGATAGATAGATAGATAGATAG